CACAGTCATTGTCAACACAATACACAAATATTTCCAGAGTTCTGTGTTTTTTACCAGAACAAACAGTGGCATCAGCAGCAGCTGTAAGTGAGAGTTACACATTTTAAAACCCTTTGAATCCTTTTCACATCTGAAGTAGGGCTGAACAATTAATTGCATTTGCATAAATATCGTGATATGATAAAACGAGATTTTATAATCTCAAAGGCTGTGATTTGACTGGTCACTGATCTGGTTACGTGACTTGTGAGTGAGCGGAGCGGAGCAGAGCAGAGAGCGGGAGAAGTCAACACTGCACTTTAACTGGTTGCACAATGGTGTCAGGCTTGACAGAAGCTGATACATCTGAAAGTTTGGTACCAAAGAGGCAGCACGTCTGTTGTTTGGAATTATTTTGACTGTAAAAAAGGAAGACGCTGCACAACGACATGTATTGTGCAGAACCTGACTTGCTGCTGCTGTTACCTCTCGAAGTAACACCACAAATCTTTATCAACACTTAAAAAACACCACAAAGCCATTTATGATGGTTGCATGACTAGAATACCAACGACCAGCGCTTCAAGTAAGCAAAGTACCAGACGACAGGATCACTGACCGCACTGTTCCAAGGTATTACTCTGTATGAATATAATTTCTGGACTATTGAGTGCACCTGAATATAAGCAGCGCACACTCAAAAAAAAAAAAAAAAAAAATGTGTACATTTATTTATTCACTTGTCTATAAGCTGCAGGTGTCTACATTCTATCATGAGATATTTACACAGAAATATTTTTTAAAACTTAATTAAATATGTACTTTAACATACACAAATATGTACAGTAAATGTTTAATTTTCAGAACAGTATCTGAAACAGGGCTGGTTAAAAAATATAATACATTAGCCCTGTTTGGTAATTTCATTGGTCAGATTAAAAAAAAAACTACTTTATTTATACATGTATTCTCAATGAGCCATGAAGACCCATCCCCCCCCCCCCACACACACACACACACACACACACACACACAAGAGAGACGTGTAGCTATGTGAGCGCCCGGGTGTGATGAGGCTAAATGTTTTGGTGGCATGAAGCTCGTTAGTCCATCCAAAAAAAAAAGGTTCAAAGCGTGTGGAAAAAAGTAGCAGCTTATATTCTGGAAATTATGGTAATTTGAAACGGCACGCAGAAATAACTCGAGCAATAACGGAGTTCATAGTGAAAGACATGATGCCCATTAATACAGTAACCAAACCTGGGTTTTCAGCTTTGGTAAACAGTGGATAAGTGGTACAGAATGTTCTCGTGAACACATTTTAGCCAAGTTGCTATCATGGAGCTATAAAAAATGCAGAAACAGAGCTGCAGCGGAGCTGAAAACAGCTGAATTGATTTATTGCTTGTGTTTGTTGAAAAATGCATGAGAAGAAGACATTGAAAAATAATCACATATTGAATCACAATCGCTATATTGAGGTAAAAAAAATCGCAATTAGGATATTTTCCAAAATCATTCAGGCCTGAAGCTCTTTAAAAGTACTCTTCTATGATCAACAATCCTAATTTTAAACTTTACTCATTGTTTTCTTTCTAATACATCCTCGTGCATCTGAACAGGTTTTGGCAACATGTTTTTTATTAAACCAGGAGCATTTGGTGTGAGCATTATAAATTATCTGCTGCTTTCTGACAGGTCTTGTTTTCCTCGTTGTAAATAATAAGTATTTTAATGAGTAAAAACATGATTTACTAGTTAGCTGTAGTTAAGTAATATTTTTAAATAGAGTAGTGTTTAGTTTTCTGTTGTGTAAGGAGTTAATTTAATTCAAAGGTGCCAATAAATGCACACGTCACATTTTGTGGTTGTGTCTTTTCTTATTTATGCTGTAAATTTGACAAATTCACAACAGAAGTGATTGATTGACTGACGTGTCTCTTTGAACACATAAGAAGTGTGTGCAGACATGTCCGTATGACCAGCGCTCTGATGACGTGTTATCTGCCTCAGCTAAACTCCTTCTGGAGCCTCAGCTCTTCAGTGAAACCTGCTGCTCTCTGGTGGAAGGAGTTTTTATGAATGAGTCGTTTTAACTCTTACAATCAACATGACAAAAATAAATTCACACAGAAACACTCATTTCAGGGCTATTTACGGCCCAGCTCGTTTTCAGAAATGTAAGAACACAGTTAACAAATGTGGTCTTTGTCTGCGTCTCTTGTAAATATCGTTAGTTGATCACGCACCTCCTGGCCTTTCTGGGTGGAAGTGGGTTTTCTCAGTGTACTCTGGTTTCCTCCCAGAGACTAAAAACCTGCATGTTAGATTCACCAGTAACTCTAAATAATCACTGGGTGTGAGTGAACGAGTGAATGTTATTCATCTCATCTGTCTCTCTGTGATGGACTGGAGACCTGTCCAGGTTGTACCCCGCCTGAGAGACACCAGCTTCTTGGTCCCAGATACGTTCTCTACAGAACTAATCTTTTCAGTTCAAGTCAGAACGAGTCAGCATCTCCGACAGGTGAAGGCAGTACTTAAGTGGTGCCCAAAGTGGGGCCCGAGGGCCAAAGTTGGCCCGCCAAGCTGTCCTCATTAATATATTAAAATTTCCTTTGAAGAATCAGTGTGTTTACACTCAGTCATCCCAAGTTTAATGTTAGATGGAAAGTTGTCCCAATGACTACTGTAATGACACTACACAGCTGGAGTGACTAAGTTGTGAATACATTTTTTAATTTTAATGGTTTATATTTTATTTTGACAGACTTCATACTGTCTCTCGGCAGTTTCTTGCTGCTGAATATTTCCTTTGACAAAGCTGAGCATCATGGAGGTGCCCGTCACACACCCTTCTTGAGCACCCCTAAATTTTAACTCAGCATCTCTGAAAAATTAACAAACCATCATTAAGATTTTGTAAAGAAACAGCTCTCAAACTTTAGATTCACCAACAATATTGAATAAATGTTGAATAAATATGGAATAAATGACATCAGTCTCAAACAGGGCCAGTAAAATCTATCTTTTTTTTTCACGAGTCGCACCACCTGTCAATCAATCCAGTAGGCACGTCAGAAACTGACCAGTCAGCGACTGACCAGTCAGCGACTGACCAGTTGACCAGTCAGCGACCTCAGTTTGTCCTGAAGTGCACATCTCTTACCTGCAGAGCTGCAGCTGTGTTGCATTAAGAACACTTTGCAGTCAGAGATTTCAATAATAACAGAGTTTACATGTTTTGTTTCATGTTAATTTACTGTAATAAACCTTTGTAAAATACACCAGAACGCAGCAAATGGCATCTACTTTATTCAAAATTCTCTGAGGGAGGACCCCCAGACCCCCTACCACCACCACCACCAACTGTGTCATTGACTGTTCTGTAATGTTCTTTATACAGAATTGAAGGTTAAATAACTGTATAATAAATAAATGGACTTTATTTAAAGAATTATTTGCATTTCATGTATTATTGCATTTGTCCCGCAGCCCTCTGACAGATTTTAAATTTGGCCCTTTCAGAGAAAAGTTTGGGCACCACTGACTTAAATGAATTGTTAAAATTGAATAGTTTTCATTTGATACTATTTATAGCTTAACATGATTCTTGACCTGCCATTGTGTATCTGTTCCTACCAAACCCAGCCAGTCGAAGCAGGCGGCTACTTGTCCTGAGCCTGGTTCTGCTAAAGGTTTCTTCGTCATGAGGGAGTTTTTCCTTTCCACTGTCGCCTTCATGTTTGCTCAAGATGAGAGTCTGCGATGAAGTTAAATTCAAAGCAGTCTGCTCCTCAGATAATTAATGTTAAATGATTATTTTTATAGAATGCTTCTGTTCAGTGCTCTGAGATGACTTTTGTTGTAACTTGGCGCTATATAAACAAACTGAATTGAATTGTATTTTTAAATGCATTGATCTTCTATAATTATTGACTGTTCTCCAAAGCTTTGTAATAAATCTGATGAAGCTTACACCTGATTCTAACAAAGTTAAGTCAGGCCCTTTGTACAGTTTCTTTATGATGAAACGTTTTATCTTTTATCCAAAAGACTTCTTCAGTCCAAGGAGCTACAACAAACTCAGTCTTATAAATAGCAGCTTCATACAGTGGGTCACCCAGTGTTTGGTGGTTTCTGGAGTCTGTTTCAACAAACGCTGACAAACATCAAAAAACATTTTAACACAAAGAAACCGTCCAGAGGACCTGACTTAACTTTGTTGGAGTTTTCTACCTGGGTTACTGAGCATGAATCAGGATATTTTGATCTACACCCAGTCGTTCTGGGAATCTCTTTTGTTCCACGACACGTGCCATGCTTTGTTTGTGGCTTATGGTGGTTTTTCAGTTCTGCCAAGCTACTGTGATTGAAAGGGGATATTTTGGACCTTTTGAAGTGCGGTACTGTGCAAAGGTTATGAACAGTTAATTTCTTACCTGCTGCAGATGGACTGACCTCAGGACTGATTAGATACAGACTGATCTGAGTGCAGCCAGGAAGTTTCAAAGATCCAAGCTGTTGCACCACAAGTTGCATTCAAACCATTAGTTGTCATTCTGACAGACCTAAACTCTGTTTCTCCAAACTGAGGTTGGCCAAAGAGCTATTTACAACAGGTAAGATACTAACTGTTCACGTCGGAAATACTCTTTAAGATCAAGCACTGTCATGATGTAGAATAGCTTTGATTTAGTCATTTTAAAGTAATCCATTTGGATCTTAAATCCATGCGTGTTGATGCTCACCTGTCGTCCTGTAAGGGCCTGACATACCCAGCAGCCAAGATGTTGAGGGACAAAATGTTTGGGTCGATCATGTTCTCGTCAGCTTCGGGGGTGTTGCGCAGACGCCCTGGGAAAAGACAGGGGCCTCAGTGAGAACGGCTCTGACACATTTTAAAGGAAACGTTTATTTTCAAAGGTAAAAAGCCTAAAAATGTTGAACTTACCAACAACAAGTTCACGAATATCCTTCCATTCAATGTCACCTCCAGACTCGTGTACAATGGTAACAGCGATCCTCCTCTGGAGGCCCTGCAGCACCACAACAAAGAGAACATGTAAAAGTTTTCTTTCAGAGTGTTTAAAGTATTTCAGATAGAGGGAGGGGCGCACCTGGTGCAGCAGGAAGGTGCCGTGGCACGGCATGCCTCCTCTGTGGTCCACAACAGCAGGGATGTAACTAAGGTAGAACAATCAGCACATGGTCAATGCTCTAAAGCACCAGTCTCACAAGTTATCTGTAATATCTGCAGCTCTCAATGTGGTGACACTGGACACGTACTCTCCGTTTGCTTCAAGCTCGCAGATCTCAAAGAATACCATGACGTCGTATTTACAGTGGCACGGTCCCACCTGAGGACGGGTCAGGGCCGTGAGCTTGGTGGCAGGCACTGAGTGGAACAAGATGTTAGAGAGGGTTATAAAGAGGATCCATCAAAAGATGAAGCAGGCAGGACGCTAACAGTAGGTGAGAATACTAAGTGTCCTAAAATGGAGGGAGTAAGGAAAGAGGAAAGGAAAGCAGGGATGCAGGAAGAGAGGAACCTTTCAGTACTTCACATTAAAAGTATCCGTGAAGTCTTTTTTAAACCACATGATCTCATAAAACTTTACTATTTCTGGGACATCAAACTCAACAGACTGCTTTCATTCTTGATCGAGTCTAAGCTGAATAAAAACATCTGCATTCCTCAAACGCAGGTGGTTCCCCAACAAATGGTTACAGTACAAGTCAAATTATTACATTTCAAAATTATTCCACGTCCACAAACATTCAGAAGTTTACTAGAAATGAAAAAGAGCTAATTGAGTTTTGGGTTTTGAATTGATTCAAGACATGAATTTTCAAGCAGCTGATTTATAGTTGATCCACATTTTTCTTTTTAAGCAGAATACTGTACAGTGCTGGTAATATCTGAGAGTATTTTTGTTACATACTTCAGAAGTAACAGTATGCAGATGTCCCCCATCGCTGAGGGATTTGAATAATGAATGTTTCTAGTTTTCAAGATGTTACATTTTTAATGTTTTTCTGGAGTGAACGTGAACAGGGAATGTTTTTGGTGCAAGATGTTCAAATGAGTAGGAGGTACACTGTGGAGAAAAGGATTTTTATTTTATTTTTTTGCTTCTCCCAGGCAGCGCAGAGTGGAGGGAGAAATTTTATCCCCAACCAGGCACAATGGCGGAGCCAGAGGGTGGCCAGTGGTGGCCTTGGCCACCATAGATTAATGTTCGGCCACCCCAGTCATTTAAGGAAACTACACTTTAAAGCAATATAAAAACTACAAAGCATAGTTTCCTCAAATGATAGTGGTGGTCTGTTTACATGTACAGTGGGGAAAATTAGTATTTGATACTCTGCTGATGTTGGAGGTTTTCCCACCTACAAAGAATGGAGAGGTCTGTACTTTTTATTGCAGGTACACTGCAACTGCGAGAGACAGAATCCAAAAAGAAAAAATAGAAAATTACATTGTATGATTTTTAAAGAATTTATTTGCATTTAATTGCATGAAATAAGTATTTAATTACCTACCAGTCAGCAAGAATTCTGGCTCTCACTGACCTGTTAGTTTTTCTTTAAGAAGTCCTCCTGTTCTCAAGGACACTATTCAAATTCAAATAAATTCAGGACAACAGGCAACTGTTGGTGCAATTATTAGAAAATGGAAGAAACACAAGATGACTGTCAGTCTTCCTCGATCTGGGACTCCATGAAAGATCTCGCCTCGTGGGTAAGGATGATTCTGAGAAAGGTCAGGAATCAGCCCAGAACTACATGGGAGGAACTGGTCAACCACCTGAAGACAGCTGGGAGCACAGTCTCAAAGAGGACCATTAGTAACAAACTACACTGTTATGGTTTAAGATCATGCAGGGCACGAAAGGTCCCCCTGCTCACATCAACACATGTCCAGTTCTGTTTGAAGTTCACCAGTGACCATTTGGATGATCCAGAGGAGGCATGGGAGAAGGTCATGTGGTCAGATGAGACCAAAATAAAGCTTTTTGGTATCAACTCCACTTGCTGTGTTTGGAGGAAGAAGAAGGATGAGTACAACCCCAAGAACACTGTCCCAGCCATGGGGGTGAGACATTATAGTGTGGGGGTGCTTTTCTGCAAGGAGGACAGGACGACTGCACCGTATTGAGGGGAGGATGGATGGGGTCATGTATCGTGAGATTCTGGCCAACAACCTGCTTCCCTCAGCATGACAATGACCTGAAACACAGTCAGGGTAACTAAGGAGTGGCTCCATAAGAAGTATTTCAAGGTCCTGCAGTGTCCTAGCCAGTCTCCAGACCTGAACCCAATAGAAAATCTTAAGAGGGAGCAGAAATTTAATGTTGCCCAGTGAGAGCCCTGAAACCAGAATGATCTGGAGAAGATCTGTGTGGAGGCGTGGGACAAATTCCCTGCTGCAGCCCAAACCTGGTCAAGAACTACAGGAAACATCTGACCTCTGTAACTGCAAACAAAGGTTTCTGTACCAAATATTAAGTTCTGTTTTTCTATCGTCAAATACTTATTTCATACAATAAAATGCAAATTATTGAAAAATCATACAATGTGATCTTCTGGATTTTTTTCTTAGATTCTGTCTCTCACAGTTGAAGTGTACCTACAAAAAAAATTACAGACCTCTCCAGGTGGGAAAACTGGCAAAATCAGCAGAGTATCAAATACTTATTTCTCCATTACAGTATCCATCTTGGATTTTGACCTGTCAACACAATTTCTGATAGGGACCTTTCTTACACCTAGATGCTTGTTGCCTATCTTTCACGTTAACCAGCGCACAAGTTTACATATATACGTATAAGGCGGCAGCCATCTTGGGTTTTGACATGGCAACCCAATTTTCAAAAGGAACTATTCTTACACCTACTGTAGATGTAGATGTAACTACAGTACACATTAAAATGAAAGTTAATATCTCTTATTTTTCAAGTTATTGCGCTCACAACATGTGGACAAATGAACAGAGTGTTTCCAATTCCCTCTTTTCTCTCTGTGACGGGGGACAAAAAGGCAACAGGAGTTCAAGTTGAGAATTCAAAAAGAAGCTCAAAGAAGGAACTGCAAGGAGAAATCACCATGTAGGTCAACGGCACACAGAATACTGGAGCGTCAATCCAACTGCAGAGTCCTGACACAAGAAAACTATCTTTTTATATCAATACATTTCATTCTTATGCTGCTTTAATAGTACTGCTGAAATAACTTCAGTACAAATGTAACTTAAAAAGACATCTTGTCTTCCAACTTGGTAAGATTATTTGATTGTTTATCTTAATAAATGCTTCCAGGAAGCAAAGTGTTCATCACTGCAGAAAACAGTTGTATTTTTCCTTTTTTCTTTCTGTATAGATATAAATTATATCTTAAGAGTCAGGTGATTTAAAAAAAAATTATATTAAATAAATTATTGATATGAAAAAAGGTTTCCAGTCACAGCACTCTGTTGGATCTGACAGAAATGACCAACCAGGCTTCTGAGCTTTAATAACGGAACAGATAGACACGGGTGGAGCAGGCAGCTGAGCTCGCTCGTTTGCTTCCAGCAGGAAGGAAGCAGCCAAGCCAGCGGCAGACAGAGCGTGGCCTGACAGCGAGTCCACAAACGCCCCGCTGAGCACATCGGGGACCAGGTATCGGATCAGCTCCAGCGACTTCTCCCGATCCGGTGAGTCGTCAGAGTCCACTGCTCACACCCAACAACATGAAGCCAAGATGACGTGACTTACAGGCAAACAAGTGAATGGTGCAAAGACGATGCAACACAAACGTGTTACAGGAAGTGGTTGTATTACCTGGTTTGGACAGAGGCATCACACTGGGAAATTGTCTTCTGCAAGGATGTAGAAGACTAGATGGGACAATAAATGGGTAAACATCATGAAAACACAACCATATAACCTGTGACTATGGGGTGCCGTTTGTAAAGTTGCACAGTCAACAATTAACAGCAACATTTTGGTTTATTTAACCTTTCATAAGAAAAAAAATGTTTTTTTTTCAAAGTCATATTTTCACTATGTTATTAATACATTTATAAATGTTATAGTTCTAAAATAAATGTTTAATTTACAAGCTAAATATTTAGTTTACAAACTAAATACTTAACTTGCAGATTAAATATTTAGTTAGAAAGCTAAATATTTAGTTCCACACTAAATATATACTTTAAAAACTAAATGTTTATGTCCAAGCTAAATGCTTAATTTACAAACTAAATCTTTAACTTGCAAGTTAAATATTTAATTAGTGAACTTAACATATAGGTGTAAATTAAATATTTAATTTCCAAGCTAAATCTTTATTTTCAAAACTAAACATTTAATTTCCAAACTAAATATTTATTGTCCAAGCTAAATATTTAATTTCCAAAGTAAACATTTAATTTCTAACCAAACATTTCATTCCTAAACTAAATATTTAATTTGCTAATTAAATATTTAGCTTGGACCTAAATATTTAACTTGCTAGCTAAATATTTAGCTTTTTAACTAAATATTTAACTTGCTAGCTAAATATTTAGCTTTCTAGCTAAATATTTAACTTGCAAGTTAAATATTTAGCTCAAACCTAATTATTTAGCTAATATGTAAATTCCTTGCCGAAAAGCTGAGGTGGACTATCAAAATAAAAGCCTAACCTCCCTATATGCACCTCTTGCCAAACCACTGGTGTTCTATGCTAACTCGTTTGTCATGTCCAGAGAAAAATAATGACAATAAAATACAGCACATAAGAGAAAATTGAAGCAATTCAGACTGGCCAGCTGCAACTCTTCTTCTTCTACTTAAGGTGGTTTTTGGCGGTTTGGCAAGAGGTGTGTATATTTAGAGGTTCAGCTTCTATTTTGATAGTCCACTTCCACATTTCAGCAAGGAATTTGCATATTAGCTAAATATTAATCTTTCAGCCAAATATTTTACTTGCAAGTTAAATATTCAGCTAGGAAGCTAAATGTTTAGCTAGCAAGTTAAATATTTAGGTCTGAGCTAAATATTTAGTTAGCAAATTAAATATTTATTTTGGAAATGAAATGTTTAGCTTGGAAAATAAATATTTAGGTCTGAGCTAAATCTGCAAGTTAAGTATTAAGTTTGTAAACTAAATATTTAGTTTGGAACTATGACCTTTATAAATGTATGAATAACGTGAAAATATGACTTTGAAAAAAATAATAATTCTTTTTTTCTTATGAAAGGTTAAATAAACCAAAATATTTCTATTAATTTTTGACTGTGTAACTTTACACACTGCACCCCATATGTGACTTCTTGCAGAAAATGCCAAACTGTTATTTTATGTAATAATTAGTATATCACCTGATGACATCTTTACAAAGAGGAAGGAAAGGTTGTTTCTGGTAGTGTCCAAACACCTCAAATACAATTGGCTGAGTCTTGATGTAGTCTACAAAGGACTTTGTAACTTCAACAGCAATCTGCAAAAACAATACAAAGTTTTTTATTATATTGAACAGGTTCCAGTAAAACCAGCAGAGCATGACTGAGTTGACGTTCCTTACATTCTGCACGTGATAAAATCCAAGAGGAGGACCACGGCCTGTGTTTTTTAAAGGTTCAGTTGAAAAGGCTTCGTCGTGGCGATGGATAAAACTAAAATTCAAAACAGAAACTCAAAACATTTCACACAGAAAAGTGTACGGAACAAAGACAAGACCAAGAGCTTTTATATATGAATTATGATTTAATAAATAAAATGCATCTTACTTGAACTGACAGAAGATATCTGCATATTCTGCAGAGATGCTGGAAGCCTGCAGGACAGTCACCCTGAAGGTAAAAATGTTACCAATTTGCAGGAGCTCCAGATTTGTATTCAGTGCACCATCCAGAGCAGCCTTCACTGGATTCTCTGGTTCATCTGCACCAGCTGAGAGGAGCAGGAAATGAAGAACAAACTCAGGCTGAATTTAAATACGTCCTCCAGGAACAGATGGATTAGGTTTAGTTAGTGTTTGTAGCATCAATGGTGGCTGATTCTCCCCGGGCTACTGTTGGAAACTTAAAATTACAAGTAAATAGGCAAACTTTAAAAATCCAGGCCTGTGTCTGTGTGAATATTTTGCAGAACTATATTCTAGGTTGAGCACATTATTATGTTGCCCACATCGTACCCTCGTCAGCCCACTTTGTACCCACTTTCACAGTTTTGTAATACTGAAGTACACTTTTCAAATAAAGATTGTTATAAATATTTATCATTAGCATGGTTCGACCAGGACATTCAGGACTACAGCCTTGGATAGGTTCAGTCAAAAGGAGCCATTTTAAAGAGCCATCAAAATAAAGCCCTTGCTCTCTAGAATTTACAAAAAAAAAAAAAAAAAAGATTGAAATGCAACTATTTAGAGAAATGAACTGTAGCACAAACATGTTCAGAATTTTCTTTTTCTTGAAGCTGCAAGCCTCTGAAACTCAGGTGAGGAAACAGAACTCCTGCTAGCATTACGAGACATTAAATAGTCTCTTTGATTAATGTTGTCAAGAAGTTTCCAGCAGAGATCTACCACCCACACATGATTTATCTGAAAGCTCATTCCACTCAGATGTTTTTGTAATTCATACGCGCCACAGCACTCATTAGTAAAGGCAACCTTCACACACAAATGAATCACCCATTCACTCATAACACACGGTTCACCCTCACATGTGTTGTTGTTGACTTCATCAGCTGATGGGCCCATTTCTGCATTCTGACCCTCTCCCTCCACAATGCGAAGCTCCTCCTGAGAAACCCCAGTGCGGGACAGTCCAGCGGAGCAGGACTCGGACTGGAACTGCAAACCCAAAGTCCAAGACCAACTTGTAAGTAGATATACGCTCACATGCACTTGATAATGCACACTTTCATTTCACCAGATTAAAACCCCACTGAGATTGAGTCTCATTTGCAAAGGGGACCTACACCAGGGCTATTCAAGGGGCGGCCCAGGGGCCAAATCAGGCCCACAGGTGAGCTCAGTTCAGCCCACCAATGGGTTCATTTAAAAATAAAGCTAGATTTTAAACCATAAAACAAACTTACTTAACAACATTAACTGCTGGATGTCCGGCCCCTGAGCTCTTGGCTTTCAGTGACTGTGGCCCCCTGAGCAGTTTATTTGAATAATCCTGACCTACACATTGCTAGTAGCAGGTTGGACCTCTTCTGCCTTCAGATTGTTAGCACAAACCCAACAAGATACTAGAAACATTCCTCAGAGATTTTGGCCCATATTGACATGACATCTATGCAATTGCTGCAAAAGTTATCAGCTGCACGTCCATGATGAACTCTTTCATTCCATACGTCTCAAAGGTGCTGGACTGAAGATCTGGTGTCTGTGGCGGCCACTAGAGTCCAGCGAATCAAGACTCAGTAAATGTTTTTTACAACCTGTTCCTGCCTAATTATAGTTCCTAGTTAATTATATATTTGTTTTACTCCATGATAACATGTCTAATAACATGTCATGTCTTATTCCACTGCCTGATGAACAAAATGCTACAATGTCATTGGCTGATTGCTAGTTGTGTTAATCAATTGCACAAGTGGGTCTAATAATGTGGCCTGTTAACCTATACAGTACATTTTTATGTATTTGGATATTGCTCTAACTTTTCTTACCTTCTCATATTGCTGATCCTCAAAGGAGATTTTGGCAGTGCCCGACTGCCTCACTCCTGAGCCGTAGTCAGGAGCTTCCTCATCAGCTGGAGGGAAACACAAAGCACCTTCACTTCACTCCCTCCAGAAGTCTCATCCAGCTTATCGGCTCAGTTGGTGTTTGATCGAAACATCACTGACGCAGAGGGTCTGAGCCTTACCTGATATGGCCTGCACCGCAACCCGCAGGAAGCCCTTCACCTCCCCCTTCTCGCTGACGATGGCCACACGGTGCACCAGAGGAACCGGGTACAGCAGGTTACTCAGGTAAACAAAAGCCCTGAGCAGAAAGGGAGAAGGTAACAACAGAAAGTTAAACACCAACCGTCCAGGGAGTGGCTTTTAATCTGATGCTTTCACACTGGACTGGACAACAGAACACAGAGCTGCAAAGCAACCAAACAGAAGCTGGGACTGCTCTAGCGATGGCCATGATTGCCCTTTACTATTGCTTCATTGGGGTTTTTTTCATCGGTTTCTATAAATTATTATGAAATATACACAATCTGGAGTTGTCAACATCTTTTTTGCATAATGCAGGTAGTGCCTTGGTGAGGCTAAGGAGCATGTGTAAGGGTCAACTTTACAATTTTAAATGGAATAAAACCATTATAAACCAGCTCTTTAAACAGCTGGAGAGCAAATGCTTTTTTTTTTTTTTTTTTTTAAAGCATGGAGTTAATTTTAGATATTTGTTGTTGCATTATTAAGGAGTTTTACCAGAAACTAATGTAAACAATGTACAGTGGTTTGCAAAAATGTCCACCTCCCCCTGACATTTTATTTCATTCTCTAGTATTAAAAGTTGGGGCACAGATTCATTTTTGATTTGACTATGAAGGTAGACCTCCAAACATATTGTAGTAGAATGAAGAAGAAAAAAAAGATCAGATTTTGTTGTACCGTAAAAGAAGAATGCTCCATGCATATGGGTCAAATCCCCAAAGTCAAAGCTTTGTAGAGCCGCCTTGTACGTCTCAAGAGCTTTAACTTCCATGAGTATGGTTTGTCTACATTTTTGTTCATTTTTCTTGGTAAAACTGCTCCACCTCGTTTACATTGGATGAACATTTAACTGTTTCTCCTAAAACCACTAGTGTTGCTTCATTAGGATCATTGTCCTGTGGTAAGGTAAACCTCAGTAACAGTCTTTAATCTTTGAAGACTCAAGAGTGTTTCCCTCAGTGATTTCTCTATAATTTGGTTTAATTTGGTTTTCCAGTCCTCATTAATGGAAAACATCCCCACAGCATGATACTCCCACCTCCATGCTTCACTGACAGTATGATATTCCCAATATGATGAGAGGTATTGGGTTTGCATCAGACATGGTGTTGGCCTCAACAGACAAAAAGTTCTATTTTAGTCTCATCCAACCACAGAACCTTCTTTCATATGTTTGAGGAACCTAAGTATGAACTTCAGAAAATTCCAAACAACTTTTTTTTAAATAAATAAAGTACATTTTTCCTGACCCTCTTCCATAAAACCCAGTTCTGAGCAATTTATAGTGATCCTATAGACAGATAATCCCATCCTTGCATCAGAGATGCTCAGCTTCATAACAGTCATCTTTGGTTGCTTCTCTGAATAATCTAACGAGGTGGAGTCAGGTTTGTTTTTGTTGAAACGTTTCATCCTTTATCCAAAAGTCTTCTTCAGTCTGAAGAGCTGCAACAAACTTAGTTTTATAAGCAGCACCATGTCCTTTTATTGCATGTATACAAATAGTTTTTGGTGTCATCAGCAAACTGGTTGATCCACTATGAGAAGGTGGTGTTTATAAGACTGAGTTTGTTGCAGCTCCTCAGACCGAGTAAGTATTTTGGATAAAAGATGAAACATTTCAACAAGAAGAATCCCTTCAGAGGACCTGACTCAACCTTGTTAGATGTATCTACCAGGATTATTTGAGCATAGATCTGAACTTTTTTTAAGCTCTCCTTGGCCGCTCTGTAAGTTTTAATGGATGACCATCTGCTATGGTGACATCATTTTTTTATTTTTCAAAATAAATTTAATTGGTGCTCTGTGAGACATTCAATGTTTGGGATATTTTCTGTAAACCAACCCTGATCTGTTTTTCTCCAAGACTTTGTCTCTGGCTTGTGTGGAGAGTGCCTTTGGCTTCATGCTGCCTCTTACTTGGTGATAGCTTTTACTTCCTGCAGGTGTTTGCTCTGAGGGCAGAGCAGGGGTGGATAGACAGAGATCATCCGACTAAAGTTACCCACAGGTGGATCCTATTCATCATGGGGCTCCTGAAGTCTTCACAGCAAAAACGTGTGGATATATTATGGTATGCACAGCTTTTGATTTTTATAAATATATTTGGACGTATTTCAGACAAGATATTCTCCATTAATTTTCTGTATTTTACTTTGTACATAGATTTATTACCTATAATCAAATTGAAGATGCATTTAAATCCCAGGTTGTAAGGCAACAAACCAGCAATAATACAGGGGGGTGGATACTTTTGTGACCCACTGTATATGTTGAAAATACCTCAGTTTTTAGAGATTGCATTTGTCTTTAAGACAAAAAAATGTGGAACTACAACTTGCCATCTTGCTTTGAACTAAAATATACGATCTAAGAGCCGAAGATCACATTTTTCACGATGGGCAGACATTAAGGAATGGAGTGTTAAGGGGGGGGGAAGACTCATGACAAGATTGGTGAGGTGCAAATAAGGCATGCTCTGGTCAAAAAATGAGAACCAAAATACCTTCAACTTGTCAACTTAAAGAAATTAAAAGTGAATGGAACATGGATCAGCTTAAGTAAAATTAGCCAACAGCTTGACATATAGCGTGCTACACCACAAAAACAATGAATGACATCAAAACTCAAAGCGCACCACCTGAGCCCAAGTGGTAACTTGTACAAAACAAGGGTAGTAGTTTGTCATCAAATGTATTCAAGTAAAACAAATTGACAAAAAAAATGTCAAAATGAAAAGACTTGTGCTCTGGCATGCCTAAAAGAGACAGCTGCAAAAGAAACCAGCTCTTTCATCTTTGAGATTTTGAGTCTTTCACACCAGCTCGCTCGTATGGATCTGTCCAGAATGTGTCAGACTTGTTCAGGTCTCACAGCATGGTGAGAACATTTCACCATGTTTTATGCAAATCACATCTGAAGTGAATCCATCAGGTTTGTCTGTGCTTTAAAAAGTGTGTTGAGTGACACGTGTGGGACACACTTCAAGCATCTATTGAATTATCTTTAACCTCCGGTAGAAACAAGTGGAATGATCTGAACACTGTGGATGGACTCGATGAGCATGTTTGTAAAGATGGAGTACATTTAACTCAGATGAAATTAAAAATAAAATGCATCGTATAATCCTTAAATCATGTGTACTTCAATGTCCATTTATCATGAAACAATTTATACAGGGTGGGGAACATCTGTGAATGTTTGTGGCTCAGATATTGATGAGACTTATATAAATCTAAAGTAAAACACAACGAGCAGTGCACCGATGTCCCCCATCACCGAGGGATGTGAATAGTGAATGTTTGTAGTTTAGATGGGAGCAGCACGGTGGCGCAACTGGTAGAGCTGCTGCCTCTCAGCGAGCAGGTCCTTGGTTCAAATCCCGGTCCGGGGGCCTTTCTGGGTGGAGTTTGCATGTTCTCTCCGTGCATGCGTGGGTTTTCTCCGGGTGCTCCGGTTTCCTCCCACAGTCCAAAAACATGCATGTTAGGCTGATTGGTAACTCTAAATTGTCTCTAGGTGAGTGAGAGAGTGAATGGTTGTTTGTCTCGTTTGTCTCTATGTGGCCCTGTGATGGACTTGCGACCTGTCCAGGGTGTACCCCGCTCCTCGCACAGTGATTGCTGGACATGGGCACCAGCGACCCCCGTGACCCAAAATGGAATAAGCAGGTAAAGATAATGGATGGATGGATGGATGTAGTTTAGATGAGCTTAGTGTTTTTCTGGACTGGAACTGAACAGGAAATGAAAGTCAACTTGAATGTTTTTGGTGTGAGTGGTTCAAGTGGGCAGGAGTTACTGTAGAGCAGAACGGAAGTAGATTTGTTGTTGTTGTTGTGCTTATCCGAGGCTGCGCTGAGTGATGGATCCTGGCAGATGGAGGGAAAAATTCACCACAGATTAATCTTCGGCCACGCCAACGGCCACCCTAATCATCTGAGGCAACTATACTTTTATGCAATATAATAAGTAGAAAGTATAGTTTCGGTACCTCATTTATTTTCAAGTTATCATGATCACATCGCAAACAGACAGCCAGATGTACAGAAGAATGGAGGGTATTTCCAATTCCTCCTCTTCGCTCAGCAACGAGAGAGAAGAAAACTTAAATGGTAAAGATTTAGGGAGCATTTTAAAACATAGCAAATACCCCAAAAACTGTGTATAAAGATGTAGTCTGGATTGGATGAAGCTTAAAAGTGGTCGCTCTGTGATGACTGTAGGGGTGCAATGGTATGCACAAGTCATGACTGAGTATGTAACTGGGTTGTGGAGTCATGGCTCTTTTGGTTCAACACAACAGTGAGAAAAAAAAACAAAGATTAAAGCCATTCTTTTTTATTCACTTGTTTTAAGCAGACAATCACCTACAACGTAGATATTGGGTTGCTCAGAGGAAAAATAACTGTGGATGAAGATTTTTTTTCTGGTTTGCATGTATTAAAGTCAAAATGTTAAGAACAAAACAGAGTGCTATTTTAAGAATAAAATGGAGCCACAGGAAACAAACCCTATGTTTCTCCAGAACATAATGTTTGGATGTTGTAATTCCACTCCCAGACGTAGAGACAGAGTAAGGAGGACCTAAGGTGGCACGGCTACGCATAGCAAAGTAGGATTTATTGACAAATAACTTCACTATAAAATAAAAGTCACATTGTTGTTTTATCCAATCTGAATTATAAAAATGTCTTACAGGCAATGTGTTAACATTTTTGATACACTCCACAATTAAAAATTGTACAAAATGGAGTTTTGTTTTAGTTAATTTGGTCTAATCTTGTTGCAAAATAAATCTCCAAACATGAAAATGCAATTTACATAAACAAAAGTTCAAACGCTCACTCCGAGCTCTCAACTAGCTGGGTGCTAGTACGTGGTTTAAATACAGATGGCAATTGTTAAACATCTGGGAATGTTTTTAATAATGCTTATTGGACACCGGAGAATATTTCAAAATATGTAAATTATGACCCATTTGACTTCGTGTACATCTAACTCCCACTCTTCACTCCTGTGCAAATCAAAGCAAAACTTTTCCACACTGTTAATTTGAAACTAACAGGAAGGTTTTCAAGCTCCCGTGTTTCACCTGAACAGCCATTCTTGCTTTACTTTGATGTTGAATGGTTTAGATTTTTTTCTTCCTCTGCTCATTTACGGTTGTCACGGTTTACTTAAGACAATTAAAAATACATGTGCACCCATTTCTAGTTGAAAGTGGAGATCATGATCAGGTGTGCCACAAGGCTTAGTTTTAGGACCCACTCTCTTTACAATTTATATAAGTAATGTAGGTCAAAACATTCCCGACACTCCTTACATCTCTATGCCGATGATGACGTTGTTTATTGTTGAGCTAACACAGTTGCCAAGGTTTTCCAGCTTCTGCACTTTGGATTTGACATCATTCAGTCAGACTTATTCCATCTCAAATTGGTAGTAAATGCTGACAAAACCAAAGGGTTGTTGTTTTCAAACAGGAAGTTGGTATCAGCAGTCCTTCCTCCTATCTTATCCATGCATGGTGTTCCTATTGAGTTTGTAGATTCTTACTTGGAAATTTTAGTTGATGCACATCTCTCTTTTAAGTCATATGTTGAAAACTTGATAAAGACACGAAAATTAAAACTGGGTTTCTTTTTCAGAAATAGATCTTGCTTAACTCTGAATGCCAGCAAACACCTTATAACCACTACCTTCCTACCAGCCATTGACTATGGTGACATTATTTACATGAATGCTCCTGCCAGCTGTTTGCAGATGTAGGATTCTGTCTACCATGGTGCGCTAAGGTTCATAACTGGTTGTAACTACCGTACCATCACTGCACTCTGTACTCCTTGGTCAGTTGGTCATCATTATCTACATGTAGTCTCTCACACTGATTCATCTTCATCTATAAATCCCTCCTTGGTCTGCTGCCTTCTTATATCTCCTCCCACTTGTCACGCCGTCAGTGCAGTTACAGCATGCGCTCTCAGGCCATTATTACCTGCAGCGTTCCCTCAGTGCGGACTGAACTTGGCAAAAAAAGACCTTTTCCTCCTCTGCTCCTGTAACCTGGAACACCTTGCAACAAGATCTCTTTGATTTCTTTAACATATTTGAAACATTTGATAAGGCTAATAGAAACATCAAAGCAAATATGTTCTTGCTTTTACTATTTTACTTTGTTTTATACGGTACCTTGGTTTTATTGTTTTAAAACACCATTTTTATTTTAATTGCATTTTATTGTTGTTTACTGTTGTCTGTACTTTATATGGTGTCTGTCTAAAACAGGTCTCTCTTGAAAATGAGTCGTTGTGACTCAATGAGACTAACGTGGATAAATAAAGGTTGAATGAATGTGTGACTAATGTACTCTTTTGTCTGACTGATGTCTGTACTATGGTTGTTTGGTATAAATACATGTACTGTACTGTTACACCCCTACTTGAGAGTAAAAATGAAAAATAAACAAATATTGAAATAATGCTTAACTTTAACATGAGGTAGCAACATAGAAAACAAACAAAACTTGAATGCATGTAATAAAAATGTGGTTCTGTGTATTTTATGTGTATCTAGTTCAAAAGAGACTGAGGTCTTGAGGATATTATCTTATCGCTCTTGGTCGGTCTCGCTCAGAAGAAGACTCTGTGACTCAGCGTGAAAGAGCTAGTTTCCTCCACCTGCATGCTCCTGAAACCTCACCAACCTTCCCACTACACTGAATAATGGAGAGCGGTCGTAAAAGGGATCCTGGCCTTTGCTGGAGCCTCGGCAGAGCTCTCCCTCATCATCATCATCATCATCATCATCATCCTCTGCCCCGAGCTCCGAACACGGGTCGTCCAAAAAAATATCATCATCCAGGTCCTCCAACTGTTCCAACTCCTCCTCCTCCCCTTGACCCTCCCTCTGCGAGTCAGCCAGCTCAGTAATTTCAGAGTTGGAAAGGGTCGGGGACGGGGTGGGGTCACTCATGCGCTCGTTCATGCATGTGTTGAAAATGGGGTTTCTGGTGCAGCCAGAGACATGGGAACCAGGTTAGTACAGTTAGATAAAGAGCACACACTTGTTTCAACAAACAGGGCAGCAGAGGAAAAACATGGGCTGGACCACAGGAGAAACTTCCTCCCTCTGAGCCACAGTGTGGCGTGGAGCAGAGACAGAGATGACAGACAGCAGTGTTTGCCAGCTACAGCTGCAGTGAAAGGTAAAAGGTGAAAAAGGTGTATGCAGCAAGATTTCAGAGCATTAGACCATGATGGCCCACAGATAAGTACAGTTAGAACATCACACAGCACTCAGACTGCATGTCAAAGAAACCAGTTTCCCAGATATCACAGGATCCAGATGTGTTCAATGTCACAGTACCAGATTGTTTGTACAGCTTCAGCCCACATGGTTGACAAAATAGGAACTGAAGTGTTTTTTTAAGTTAAGTTTATCAGTAATGAATAATTTCTTTATAGATGCAAAGCCATTGTCAGATCAGCCCTCCATGATTGTCAGAATATAGTGATAAGTTTAAATCCTGACGTATCAAACATGCTTTTAATTGTGCATATTAGTGGAGCAGCTAAAACCTGTGCAAAATGTCATCTGAGCAACAAATTTGGTACCGTTGTTCCAAAGAGTCTTCTAAACAATTCTATCTGATTGGCCATCTTAAAATCCAAGAAGGTTAATTTATTATTATAATTATATTTTTATTATTATTATTATTTTACTAATATATGTTACTTGTATAGCACAAGGGCAGCACGGTGGCGCAACTGGTAGAGCTGCTGCCTCTCAGCGAGCAGGTCCTTGGTTCAAACCCCGGTCCAGGGGCCTTTCTGGGTGGAGTTTGCATGTTCTCTCCGTGCATGCGTGGGTTTTCTCCGGGTACTCCGGTTTCCTCCCACAGACCAAAAAACATGCATGTTGGCTGATTGGTAACTCTAAATTGTCCCTAGGTGTGAGTGAGAATGAATGGTTGTTTGTCTCGTTTGTCTCTATGTGTCCCTGTGATGGACTGGAGACCTGTCCAGGGTGTCCCCCACCCCTCGCACAGTGATTGCTGGACATGGGCACCAGCAACCCCCGCGACCCAAAATGGAACAAGCGGGTACAGATAATGGATGGATGGATGGATGTATAGCACAAGGCTACTGACAGGAGAACACATAAAAAGTGGCACAGAGATCATTGAAACTGATCAAGTAATTGCATTTCTATGAGTACTTCGCAGAAATAGGCTCATTTTGGCAGCCATCTTGGATTTTCAAATGGTCAGTCAGGCAGATTTGACTAAAACAGAAGAAAATGCATGATTTTTATATTATCTGCTCATGTATCTATAATCAGTGCAGAGACGTCATTAAGATTGTTTTGGGGTTTTTTTTTGCTGCATGATGGATGACACTTTTCTGTGGACTGTGTTTAAACGTGTTCATTTAACATAATGTTGGTACCCATGGTTGGTTGACTAGATATCATCCAAAGATGCAGCGACTCCATCCAGCACATTATGGACTGACTCCTGACATTTAAACTCAAACTGAGTCGTGGCAACTCACACCAAACATCACCAAGTCCTCAACAACTTTACATTCTCTATATTATCCGTGGGCTCACATGATTGCAAGGGCTAAATCTCTAACAAGTACCACTTCCCAGTGATGAGACTCCAACTGTCAACACCACTCACCTTCAAAATAAAAGCATTGGAAAACTGGTTTCAAATTAAAAACAGATTTTGGAGTGAAATACCTAGCTCAACATTTTCTCTTCTTATTGTTGCTTTTCAGTTTGTTTTAACAATGCAACAATAAATCTTCTGTATAATTTATACAGCCTAATGTTGAGCATGAGACGACTAATTTTGTGATTTTAGAAGTCCCTCCTTTTAACAGGAAACGCATCATAATAAATCAACTAACAAAGGAAGCTTCCTCCACTGTGTGACCTCAGCTGCACAGACTCTATAAGTAAACCTTTCCAGTAAAACTCCCACATCCAACATCAAGAATCAGTTCTCAATAAATATGATTCATATTTTATCCACTATAAAAGAATGTGAATGAGTGAAAAATAAGCAAATTCAAAATACCGCAGGCTCAACTTTTCCAAATGACATTAAAAAGCTCATGTTTAAAAATATCAAACAAGACTATGTGACAGTGGAGTTTATTTTCATAAATAGAAAAAAAAAACCAGTGCAGCGTGACTGGGATTTGGTGCCAGAACTGGGACGAGAACAGCAGGTTTTCAGTAGGTGGACTGAAGGAATGCAGTCCTCCATTGTTCTGCTGGATTTCTTGTTTAAGAAGATACTCCTCTCTTTTATCGTCATAAACTGTTGGGATCTGTGTTTTATGTTTTAACTCTTGTTCTTTATGAGTAGATTTGTTTCTTGTGCTTAGTTTTGTTTCATCCCTTTGTTAATCACTCCCCAGTCTGTATTCTGTTCTCCTCTGGCCCCGCCCACACTCACCTGTTCCCTGTTGTCTTCTTGTCAGGTGCTTGTCATTATTGTTATTAATGCTGTCCTAATATTCTTTGAGTCTCTGGCCTGTTTCCTCCTTTGTCTTGGCTTTCCTTGTGCCTCGTTGTGCCCCCTCCCCCATCCCTCCTCTAGTATCTGCAAGTATTTGGCTGTAATGTCAGCACTTTTATTTTTGTAAATAAATGTTTGTGACAACCTTGTGCACGTCTGTATTCTGTGTCTAAATCCCCACTAATCGTGACATGAACTCAGACATGACAAAAGTCATCCAGCAAAAAATGATGCCCAGTAAAGTACTTAAATAAATCCATGACTTTATTATAATAAACCAGTAGGACACCAGACTGGATGAAGGAGGTAACAAACATCTTTGGATCATCAGCTCAGTGCAGTGCATGACCCAACAACCTGCCTTATCCTGAATGGACTAACTCTGGCTTTGGTGATGTCTGAATAAATGAAGTAAAAGATGTATTCCTGGTCTTATTGTATGGAGTCAGTGGAGTGTTTAGTATTTACCTTCCAACCAGGCGGAACCAGGGGAAGCGATCATAAAATGGGTCACCTCCAGTCAGCGCACTTTCACTTTCCTCAGTGGTGTTGTTGGGCAAATCAGCAGCACGATCGTACATCTCCCGCATGAGCTCAAGCCTCTGCCTGCAGGATGTGATGACAAATATCATGTTCAAACATTTGTTTTCACGGATGCACAAGATGTAGTTAATGAACTAACTGGGATAAACCTGGGAGAAACCTGGGAGAAACCTGGGAGAAAATATGACGATTTGTTATAACTCTAGCTCCCTACAACCAAGATCCATTTTGCAATAAAGATCTTATTCTTTCATATTTTCCTAACAGAGCACTGCACTCTCAGACTGGAGGTTTACTTGTTGTTTCTAGAGTTCCTAAAAGGAGAACGAGAGGCAGAGCTTTCAGTTATCAGACTCCTTTATTGTAGAACCAACTTCCAGTTTCTGTCATTGAGGCTGAAACATTGTCTACTTTGAAGACTAGATTTTTAATGAATCCTATAGTTAGGGTTGGCTTGGGTTTACTGAGCTATCCCTTAGTCCTGCTGCTATACTATTGGACTGCTGTAGGACAAACTGACCTCCTCAGTCTGCTGCTGCCTTTACTTGCTCTGCTTTCCATGTTTGTATTTGTATTCATTGCCAATTGTAATTTTATTGTAAGTACTTGTTTTTTTCTTTGGACCAATTGCTCTGTGCTTGTCTGTGTCTCTTTCCTGTCCTCTAAAGCTTCAGTTAGTCTAAGAAGATGGCATCCCTCCTGAGTCTGGTTTTGTTGGAAGTTTCTGTTCAAAGTGAGTCATTGCTTTCCACTGTCACCAATGTGTTGCTCAGGGTGGGAGAGTGTGACAGAGTGAAGACAGATAACTTTTATTAATTGGTATTTTATCGGGACAGAATTTCTAGGTGCAACCAAGGTGTTGAGGGGATCCATTTTGATGACCATAGGATCACGTCTCTGCTTTTTGCAGATGATGTGGTCCTATTGGCTTCATCAGGTCGTGATCTACAACTTTCACTGGAGCGGTTCACAGATGAGTGTGACGCGGCTGGGATGAGGATCAGTTCCTCTAAATCCGAGGCCGTGGTCTTGAGCCGGAAAAGGGTAGAGTGCCCTCTCCGGGTCAGGGAGGAGGTCCTACTCCAAGTGGTGGAGTTTAAGTATCTTGGGGTCTTGTTCACGAATGAGGGAAAAATGGAGCGAGAGATCAATAGGCGGATAGGTGCAGCGTCTGCAGTGAAGCAGGTGCTGTACCGGTCTGTCGTGGTAAAGAGAGAGCTGAGTCAAAAGGCGAAGATCTCAATTTACCGATCGATCTATGTTCCTACCCTCATCTATGGTCATGAGCTTTGGGTTGTGACCGAAAGAATAAGATCATGGATACAAGCGGCCAAAATGAGTTTTCTCCACAGGGTGTCTGGGCTCTCCCTTAGAGACAGGGTGAGAAGTTCGGTCATCCAGGAGGGCCTCAGAGTAGAGCCGCTGCTTCTCCACGTCGAAAGGAGCCAGTTGAGGTGACTCGGGCATCTGGTTAGGATGCCTCCTGGACGCCTCCCTGGTGAGGTGTTCCAGACACGTCCCACCGGAAGGAGACCCAAAGGAAGACCCAGGACACGCTGGAGGGACTATGTTTCTCAGCTGGCCTGGGAACGCTTCGGGATTCCCCCGGAGTAGCTGGCCCAAGTGACTGGGGAGAGGGAAGTCTGTGCCTCCCTACTTAAGCTGCTACCCCCATGACCCGACCCCAGATAAGCAGAAGAGAATAGATGGAAGGATGGATGGATGGATGGATGGATGGATGGATGGAAGGATGGATGGTATTTTATCATGTATTTTATTATGCACAATGCCCTGAGAAGTCTTTTGCTGTGAATAGGGGCTATAGAAACAAACGTTTGTTTACTGACCTGACTCTGATGATCTACTGTTTACTGGTTTACTGGTTGCATTCAGTCTAAGTTGGCCTTGCAGTACTATAATTGCTACATGCACAGCAGTGTTTTGGTGATGTTTGGTATTTACTTCAGAAATGTAAGGCTTTGCTAGCCAAATACTTTGTGTGTTCAGGTACCTTAGTTTTTCTAATGTCCAGTAGTGAGTTGCTCCATTTTTCTGATCTTGTACTTCCACAGCCACTATGGTGCGAGGAAAAAGTTGCTTTTCTTTGTCTTTAGTCACCTCTGGGGAAGACAGGTCAGGAGGCAGTGGGGAGTAGAGAGTGTCTGTGAGCAACACAAACTGGAACTGGACCTGCAGGAGAGCAGGAAGCATTAGTCTGGTTAAAAAATAAATCAATTTAAAGGTGTACTTAGACCGATGCATATGAATTATGATAACATGCTGCACCTTCTTCTTGAGCTCAACACTGATAGCGTTTGCTTCTTTAAGGAAGATGGCGTTTCCCCACAACAAGTCCCGCAGTGAGGTGAACTGGTAGCACTTCCACTTCCTGAAGCTCCACAAGGCCAGTTCTCTTTCCCTTTCTGTCCACTGAACTGTCGGCCAAAAGATGACAACCATTCTGGTGTAAAAGTGTGTGTTAAACACCAGCAGACGAACAGTAGTGGTGTCCAGATGTTGTCTTACCTTCCTCCTCTGGATCATCTTCTTCGGGGGCATCTGGGTAACAACGGTCCACTTGTTTCTGAAGAGCCTCCAGCTTGCTCTCATAATCCTAGAAATAAAAGGTTCAAGACCCTTGTTAAGCATTTAGTTTGGTACATAAAATACTATTTTGAAAACATGTTACATAAAATAATAGTCACTAAAATGAAAAGCACCTTAGAAATTTTAAATATTGATCATACAGGGATATTTGGGCCATATTAAAATGGTAAATATTAAGAACAATTAATATTTACCTGCAGCAAATAGCTTGGAGAAATAAAGTTTAATTTTGACAGGACTGATGAGCTAACAGTGAGTCTAAACACAGCAAAGACCAAAGTTGATTGCTGCCATTTTAAAACAGCTCCAATTTAAACCTTAAATTGTTTAAACCTTTCATCATGGTTTATGCAAATACTATTTCATAGCATCGTCAGCTTCTTTTTACAGTTATTTACGTAAATCCATGGTTATGTTGAAGTGTAAATAACAAACTGACCATGAAATGCAAAAGCAACAATAATATGGATATGTTAAATACATTTTGCTTGAACCACTATAAAAGGATTTCTGGTGCAGTTTTAAGAAGACACATTTTGCTTTGGAATGTGTCTGCTTGAAATGGTCATTATTGGTTTGCAGTGGTGGGATGTAACTAAGTACAAATACTTCGTTACTGTACTTAAGTACATTTTTCATGTATCTGTAGTTTACTTAAGTAGAGTTAAATGTAGGTACTTTATACTTTTACTCCACTACATTTTACATCAAGTATCTGTACTTTCTACTACACTACATTTCTATAATGTGTTGCATTACAAGTTACATTCACGTTGCAGCTTTTTGATTTGTTTGTTAGTTTGAAAGTAACTAATGGTGAGAGGGGAGCTGGTCCATTGAATCACTGCAAAGTGGTCAGGTAACGTTAGGCCCACCTTCAAGACCAGCTGGGCCAATGACATATATTCTAGTACAAAGTATATACATCACTGAGCTGGGTGCACCCACAGCACCACTAACACACCCAAAATGTATTCCATCGCAAGAGAGTCAGCCAGAAGATACACACCACCCATGGCCTTATTGAAAGACTGCTCAGTACAACAGGACAGATTCTCTCTCCCAAAAGAGCCAGACTGGACTTAAAAATCTTTGAAAAACAATTTCTTCTGAACTTGAACAAGAAATTCTTGCTGCAATATTAAAATGTGTCAGTTCAAGAGATGTTAGGAGACAAGAGATGTCTCCAAATGTCTCGACACTCGGGTCCAAGTTTTAAAAATGGTGTCAGGAAGTTAAACTATTGTTCACTGTTGACCCATTACAAGGTTTAATAGACAGTATTTTAACTAGAGTTGATGACAAACTGGAGTTGAAATATCAGTGGAAATAATCAGAGCCTATTTCTTTGTTAGTTGTTTAATGCTCCTTTTGTTCAGACAGACAACTTTTACTTAAATGTGCTTACTGCAGTTAAAATGACACATTGGTTTTGATTTGTGTTAAATAAAAACTTTCAAAGGTATAATCATTCCTCTTTCTTATTTTGTTTAATGACATTTAACTCTGCATGTCATCCCTGAAATTCTGATGCACAGAATCACAAGTCCAGGAGTGAAATGTGTCACAGAGTAAACACAATAAAAACATGTATTATCTGCAGCATTGTTCATTAAAACAACACTATTAATGTATTACAGAAAATATACACACGGTAGGCAGACTTAATGATATTGTAGACCATTGCATTATGTAAATAGGAAGTACTTTTACTTTTAATACTTTAAGTATTTTAAAAGCAAGTACTTATTTACTTTTACTTAAGTAAAAATGTTAATGTGGTACATCTACTTTTACTAGAGTACATTTTTGTCTGTTTATTTGTACTTTTACTTAAGTACAGTGTTTGAGTACTTTCTCCACCACTGTGTTTGTTACCACGGTCAGAGCAGATCCACTTTTAAAACAGATTAAAAGTGGGTCAAGTCTTCAACATTTCACAGCTAATTAGGCAGCTGCCACTACACAGCTGTTTATTAACAGTAATTAATGATAATTATAACAATAATGTTCAGCCAGGTCATCTGGATGGCTGCTTTTTTTTTCTGAGATGTTTCGTCCTTCATCCAAAGGACTTCTTCACTTTGAGGAGGAGACACCAAACAAAACTGATTCCCACAAACAGCATACTCCATAGTGGAAAAAACCCAGTCAGCTGGTGTTAAGATATCCTCTGGAGCTCTCCCCCATCAACTCCTCTGAAGCAGCCATGCCAAAGTGGTTAAAAACACCAAAGTTCAAGCTCAGTAATCCAGGTATAAATCCAACAATGTTCAACAACAAGGTTTTTTCCACTGTGTGGACTGTGCTGTTTATGGGAATCAGTTTTGTTTGGTGTCTCCTCCTCAGACTGAAGAAGTCCTTTGGATGAAGGACGAAATGTCTCAGCAAAAAAATAAAAGAAACCGTCCAGATGACCTGACTGAACATTGTTGGACTCATACCTGGATTACTGAGCATGAACTTTGATGCATAATTATAACAGTTAACATTACAGTGTTTCCCCTAGTTTGCTGGCAGTGGCAGGACATTCATATCCTCCATGTTGCTGTAGACAGGGCGTTCAGCTCTGTTGATGGGGCGGGGCACCCTGCTTTTATAATGGTAGGGGAAACACAGCTAACAGTAATTAACTATGTAATGAACATTACCTTGTTACATCAGCAAAACAAAATTACTAAATTCTTGCCGTATTTGACTTTATGATGCATCAGGAGTTTTACAGCAGTGATGCCCCCACCCACCCACCCACCCCCCACCTACTAGCAAATTAATAGTAGTGTAAATGTCCATGAATTCATATGATTTCACAATGCACTGTGAAACTTCTCAGACTGAAGCTGTTTTAGGATGCAGCAATCCTCTTTGATCTTATCTGATTTCAAACTAACAATTAGCTTTAAAGTCCAGTTGCATTTATACACTTTTTTCCTCCAAACTTGCATCAAAAAGTTATCTACAACAGGTAAGATATTGTTTGTAACTTTCTACACAGAACATCATTTTAAAATGGATGCTATAGCCCTTTTAAGGTATAATATACGGACATTAAAAACACATTTAGTGAGATTTTGTTGGTGATGTTGATTTACAATCATTGACCTAAAAGAACATTATTACTTTAAACAAAGACAATCTCAGTAAAACTTATTATGGTTATAATATTTAATATATTCATTTCTGTTTTTACTAAATGTTTATTCTGTCTGCTGTGTTACAGTTTTTATAAAATGTGAACAACAGATATGTTAAATAAATGCTGTACCTAAAATAAGAGTGGCATACGTGTCAAACAGTCTCAAGTTTCAATAAATACCATTCACAGTTGTCTAAGCACATTTCTGTGTAATAAAACTATATAAACAGTCACTATACCAGTCGTTGCTGCTCCAGAAGGTTGTTGGCCTCCTCTCTTTCTTTGCGATACTGATCCTCTAACTCCTGCAGTCTGAAGACATTAACACAGGTGTTCAAGAAACAGCTTAAAGGGTGAAAAAGACCAAGAACAACAACACTATTTCTATTTTTGCACAACTGTTAATAATAAATATGATGAAAGCAGCACATCAACGGTTAACACTTTGGTTCCTACTTGTTTTATACATTTCCTCAGCCTTGTTATTGTGTTTCTTTGTCTGTACCTCTGCTCCATCTCTAGCTTCATGTCAATGCCCTGTTTGTCCAGCAGCTCCCTCTGAGCAAACGCCCAGTCTACGGGCTCGGCGGGGGTCTCGGCACAGGGGGTCCTCTCCCTCTCGGCTCTGGCCTGCTCAGGGTGGTTAAACCGGAACACGTGGCTCTTCCCTAGGATGATGCGGTTTCCTACAAGAGAAACAAGAAACAGGAAAGTGATGTTGATGGAGATGTGAAAGGTCACAGATGTTTTTCACTTATTAATGTCAAATGTATATGAACCATGTGTGGCGATAGCGTGTTGTGTCTGGACAGACTGGAGCTGCAGAAGCCTGGAGCCATTCACCTGATAAAACTCAAGGCCTAAGCTGGAAGGCAGCGTTTCTGATAACATTATAAAAAGACACTTTTTTATGCTCTTGCAGAGCAGACTTGGAGACGAAGCGTCATGTAAACATCTTGCCTGCTTGCACTTCAACTCTGTTCCATCTTGCAAGATTAAACTGGGATGAGAAAATTATCTACTCATTCCTGCGTGGCATATTTATTTAATCAGCGCAAAGGATAATAGTAAATTATCCTAACATTCTGGTCCTTCGAGCCGGATAGAAACGTCTAGACATTCAGCACAACATTTTGTTGAATGAAAGATGAAATTAGAAACCCAAAATGTAAGACGGCATTCTGACCTGATTTCAGTACAGTGGGCTCCGTCACTCGCTTTCCATTGACATAAGTCTCAGCTTCTTCACAGGGCTCCAAGACAACTGCTGCTCATGAACAGAGACGTTTGTAATATAACAGCTACATAAACTCTGATGTGCACAGCTACCAGAGTGTGGAGTCATAGGTTTCCTCACTTTCACCCACTGGGCCAGCAGATCTTGTAAAAGTGCAGTGCTCATCCTTGATGAAGAGGCCACTGAGGACTATATCTTGACGACTGGTGGCATCTAAACGACCAACCCTAAAGAGGATATTTTTTAAAAATCATATTATATCACACATTCTCTTTTTTTAATCAACTAACAATATAAAAGTACACAGTATTCCAATCATCTTAAATGGAAAAATATAATTTTCTAACCTGGTGATGCCCTCTTTTATGTAATATAGCAGACACTCAGACATCAGGGGATCCTCGTTGAGGTTTACTAAATGAGGTGTCTAAAACAGAATATGGAATAATTTACTGTGATCATCTGGTGAATAAGACATGATTTAATAGCCATATGCTATTTACAGTGTAACATATGGACAAGAGATTTGAAGAACTGTCTCCCAGTCAAGCCGTCAAACGCTCCCCACAGCGTTTAATACGTTTAATGTAAAAATGTGCTGCAGACAAGCAGCAACAAGTCACTGAAACAGGGTCATAGACGTTCTGTCTGTCCCCATGTTTACACTTATTGCTGCAGAGAGGAAGTGTTTGAAGTAATTAAGTAGATTAAAGATAATAAAGGAGATTCAGTGAAAAAGAGAAACCCTCGTCTGAGGTGCCCATAGAAAAGATTCCTGTTGCAGAGAACCTCAAAGCACTCAGAAGAAACAAACACGTCAGAACGACAAACCTCGTTAGGAGAAAACAGACCAACTGTGTCGATAAACACAGGCTGGGGCTTTCTGGGATTTTCAGACGGCTTTCGGGGTAATGAAACAGGCATTAAACTGATTAATTTAAATACGAGTAAGGTATTGCAAAGTAAGCTTAGAGATATGTGATATATTTTTTACCTTCTTAGGAGAGAACACGCCAACAGTGCCACCATCTTCTCGTATCGCCACACCCATTTCTGCCAGCAGGGCCTCTCTGTGGAAACATCAGTGTCAGAACACCAAAGTTATCCTCTGAAAATCTACATGCCTCACTTCTTACTTTGTTAGCATTTTCTTTCTGAGATGAATTTATCCACAAGAAAAGCGCTACAACTTCTTGATACTTTAACTGTTGTTAATTAGGGCTATCTGCACCTTCAAATATTAAGTTGATGAAAATAGTTACACTTTTTTTTATTTGCTGGGGAAACTAGTTTGAATAATTTCTAATAATATAGGAGACCTGCGCCTCAAATCGTGTCACTTAACCACATTGCTAAGCTGCAAAACCTGCTAACCTTTTCACATGGCGACCGTTTTAATTAAGAGAATATAAGATCTTACCTTTCCATTCTAATAGCTTCTGTCCTTCGAAGTTTTTCTTCCCAAGTTTCATTTAGTTCAGCAATTATTTTCTCTGTTTCCTGAAATTGAAAATAAATTACAATCATTAAAAAATAATTTGCTCTGTACGTTTCTTTTGAATCACAGATCCCAGCATGGATCCTTAGTTTTTGTTGGCTAAACTGATTAAAACGACAAAAAGTAAAAAAAATTAAATGTTTTCTTGTTATTGTACTTGAGTGTGTGTACAGCAATGGTGCCATAATGGGAGGGGGTAACTTGACCAGACAGTTCTACGTGCATACAGAGCCCTCCTACATATGTTTAAATATTGTGGCATGTTTTCATCACAAAGCAGTGTTTTAAATGGCCTGACCGAAAGAGTTGCAATTTCCCACACTCAGCGTAGTCTTTGAACTACTCACAGTTGAATCAAGAGTTAAAGTTATACTTAGTGGAGCTGTAAACTTTAAATGTTACATTAGTCGGGATGTTTAGTGGCTGTTAGAGATGGGATTTACAGCTTCTTAAAGGGAGTTGATTTTTGTGGATTCATTCTTGTCAAGGAGCTGATCCTTTGAACGGTTCGTCCTGTGGTGATGTTTTACATCAGGACAGGCTTCAATGGGCTGAGAAGTGATCTTTCTCATTTAGTTAGATCTACTGTAAAATAAGAAACCAGTGTAAACCAAGCTTGCAAGGCAATTCTACAAAACAGCCTTTTAATGAAGGCAATATAAGAAAAGTCCTGAAATTCTGTGTTGGCTTTTAGATTTGATGTGACGCTGCTAAATTTTCTGTGAAAATTTCAGCCCCCATTTGGCAACACCGTTAAACATTTTGTGTTCAGAATCCAGAACAAGGCTAGACAATATGTAAAAAAAACAATATATTAAAATGCACAATGTCAATAATGTATAGGATTCCAATAACTCGCAGACACAAACACAATCTCTAAATCCACTAACAGCTGGCACATAGAAAGTGTTGTGATCATTGTGATGATGCAACATGTGGGTTTACTGCAACCAATAATGTCATTGCAGTATTAAGCTCTTACCTTTAGCCTCTCGATGGCCTCCTCACTGCCTGGGCTGAACATGATGCGGTCATGAAGACTGGCAATAGATCCGGCACGGCTGGACAAGGCTGAGAGGGATGGAGAGGGGCTCATCCCCGTCATTGCATTGGTCACTGTGAAAAGATCAGCCCTTTGATTCACAGCTTGGCCGACATTCTTACTGTGTTTGTAATTGGATACGTCTGTCAGGGTGTCAGGGGGCATGGGGAATGGACAGGAGGCTTTGGGTTTGGATAGTTATTAACAGAAAGTAGGTCTGCAGAAAGAAATGGAAGTGAGGAGTGAATATAGATGGAAAGAGCATATATGTCATCTCCAACATACTGATCTCACTCACAAGGGGAATATAAACAGCGTGACTGAAAGCAGTGGCTACACCAGCAGAAAGCTGCACACAGAGAGCGCCAACTTAACTGATGCAACAAACGGGTCAACCAGCCGCTACATGGCCCAAAGAAAATACAAATATACAAAACTTCAAGCATGCATCATATGCAAAATCATTTAAATCAAGAAAAGCTGGTACTTTTTTATGCTTATATAAGGAAATATCAGTAGGAACTTTCGTTGCTTATTCTCAAACAAGATACGCGGTATTGTTTGTTGAGACATAATTTTAACAAATTAGAATTAGGATTGCATTAAGTTATTCTTAATATTATAATTGAACTGAAACAAGGGGGAGAAGAATGAAGAGCAGAAGACAGATGTTGGTTCATGACTAGGAAAAGACGTTAGTCACAGCAGCGGTCCCTTTGCATAATTTTTCCAGAAAATATCCGACACAGCTTGATGTTTATTGTGGGTTTTCTTGTAAATGAGAGTTTAAATCAACTGAGCCAGTCGCACTGAATGATCACCATCACTGATCCAAGCCCACGATAAAGGTTTCCTTTCAAATCTTTCACTATGAAAGATTTGGTCTACAATTGCCACACAAACACACACACACACACACACACACTGTGAACCTGGCTTAAAAGAAAAGTTTGAACTGAAATTGTTATTTAAGAAGAAATAATTAGTGCTCAGAGTGATAATCATAGTGAAATCAGAATACATTTCCCTGGTGAAGATCCATGGTTTGAATGGTTTGGGGGTATTCAATGAAAAACACTGAAAACAATAAAATGCTTTGGATTTTTTCATGTTTGAAGTTTAATCTCAGCTTCTGTAGCTCCTCAAGGCCTATCAACAAATTTAAAACATAAACAACATCCATCATGTTTTCCTGCTTCTTCCTTTTCGGGTGGCAGCAGTTACTGGTGTCCATGTCCAGCAGTCACTGTGTGAGAGGCAGGGGACACTCTGGACAGGTCTCCAGTCCATCAGAGGGACACATGGAGACAAACAAACATTCACTCTCTCTCTCTCACCTAGAGACAATTTAGAGTTACCAATCAGTCTAACATGCATGTTTTTGGTCTGTGGGAGGAAACCGGAGTACTTTGAGAAAACCCACGCATGCACGGAGAGAATATACAAACGCCACCTAGAAAGGTCCCAGACCGAGATTTGAACCGGCGACCTTCTCGCTGAGAGGCCACAGATCTACCAGCTGAGCCACCGCGCCGCCCCATAAAAACATCAACTCTGTTACTGTAGCAGAGACCACGCCCAGTCGTCTGCACAGGATGGATGACATTTCTAAGTTGTGCATTTTGCACAGAATATAAAAACTGAATCGTACAAAGCGAGACGACTGCCTTGAAGACCTCGTGCTGCAGAAACGATTATAGTCTTTTACTGAAAACTACATTATCATCTCACAGTTACTGTGTGCCTCTTCATCAGGGCTGCCAAGGAAGGAGGCAGATTAAATCAGACAAACCCTGCCAGCAGAGTCAAACTGTGATGAATTATAGCATCGTGTAGTTCCTAAGCGTTCATGCTGCATGTCTTAGCTTTGTTGATTTATGAACACGTCAGCTCTGCCTCTTTCATGCCACACCTACTATGAAGCCATCCGCAGGTCTCTGCAGCACCTTCACACACACTGCCTGTACGACTCAAACATGCCTCACAGTTAAACCTGAACAAACACGAACAACATGTTTCTAAAAGTAACAGCATTTTCATTTACTATAAAAATTCCCATAAGCTGTAAATACATGACAGTATTGTTGTGCTGAAGAGCACTACGGTATCTGCAGAAAGCGTCTGTGATGTGAAGCTGCAGAGCAAAAGCAACAGCCAAAAGCACATACGTTTCAAACCCTCTATATCAGCAGCAGACGCTCGAAACGCTGCGTGAAGAAGAAACAAAGCACAAGTACAAAGAGGAAGAGAAGAAAGAAAAATACCTTTTACATCAAATGTATCTGTGTAAAATGTTCACTAAATATACTTTGTATGCTGAACACATGAGAGGTGCAGTCAATACATACGTCTTATGTTTTAGTTTCCTGATCCCATTTAACTCTAACAACTGAACCACTTACAGTTTCAGCTGTACAGTAGTCCCTCGTTTATCGCCGGGGATCCGTACCCTGAAGACCCGCGATAAGGGGCAAACCGCAAAGTAGGAATAGTAGTACAAGTAGTAAGT